AACCAGTCTGACTAGTCTTCCTTAGATCCACACAATGTTGTAGCTCTATTACTAGTGGTTTTAATAGTGCCTTAGATACTGATATTGCATATACTGCACTCACTAGCACAGTACCTTTGGGTACCTTGAAATTACCACCAGCTAGTGCAGTAACAGCTACTTCAGTATCCTTGGACACTGCTCCTTGAGGACACTCTAATCTGAATCCATATTTCTCCCACTGGAGTGAGTGAGACCTGTCTCCTTGTAGGATAAAGAGCTTCTGTCCAGCTATAACGACACTAGAGTCTAGTGAATCTGAAACAATACAGACACATCATATCTAATACCAGTATAGTACACACACAATCATTCACATGTGTACATGTACATGTACATAAATAATTTACCCATTGAAGGGATCAGGTAATTAAATTGTAGTCCAATGGAACTAGTCTCTTTGATAGGTTGCTTGAGGACCCTCTCTTGTCTTTCCTTCACTAGTTTGGCTATGTACAACTCCTTTTCTTTAAGGTCTATAAATTAATAGAATATTAATAATTATTATTGATTGATGATGATACACTAACCAGTAATGATCTGTTTCTCATTCTGAGATTGTTCCTCTGCTTGTGATGTCAGTTTGGCTATAACTTTGTCTTTCTCTGAAATGAGATTTTGATTGTCGTCTACACAATAAACATATTCTCTCATCTAAAACATACTGTGTGTATGTATAGTTAACTAACCAATAATGATCTGTTTCTCCTTGTCAATGAGATATTGTTCCTCCATATCAGCTACTTTGAGTTTCAGCTTCTCATAATCTTCTACATTAATAGAAAATTCTCTCATCTAATATTATGTATTGATGATACACTAACCAGTAATAATCTGTTCCTTTTCTTCTACTTGTATCTTCTCTTCCCGCAATATTTCAGTTATATATACTTCCTTATTGGCAATTTTAGCTTCAAGCTTCTCATAAATTTCTATTATTAAGAAGATAAAAATGAGACCATATTGTCACTTTCATTATACTGGATGCAGATTATTGTACACATATACATGTACATGTATACCTGACTGCTTGCGTAATTCTTGTCTCAATTGTTCATCTTCCAGGTTCTTTTGTTCAAGCTGTTTGTTGCATAATTCAAGAGAATTACGCAAATACGCATTATTCTTCTCTGCTTGGTGAAGAAGAGTTGTAGCATCATGAAGTCGCCGAGAAAGTTCTTCTTTCCCTTTTACATCTCTTTGAAGCTGTTCCTCAGAAAATTCCATCTTGGTTCTATCTTGTAAACAATCTCTTAGTAATTGAACCTCTTTGGTAAATCCTAAATTCTCCCAATCACTCAGTATCCTTCTTCTTAGTTGATCTTGATACTGGTCCAGAGGTATTACACTAGTAGACCAATCATTATCACTAGTACATCCTATACAGTAACAAAATAGTGGACAATAAGAAATATACAAATTAATTACAGTTAGTTTTACTATGGTAACCTTATTATTGATGGATTCATGTTTAATCATTGTATGTGTGACTTCTGTCAGTTTACACACTTAACCACATGAACATATTATTGTATATAAATACACTAATAATAATATTTTATTCACTCTAGCTCCTATTAACATCAGTGATTCTGTATCTGCAGTCATTATATTTCACTATTGTACATAGCAGGAATGAATTGGTAATAATTAGTATCATAGGTATACGTCAAATGCTCTCATTAAATATTCATCATAAGAATTACTTACTTTATTGTAATATTATCATTACTAATTATCATTACATATTCAATACACATTGTATCTACTACTGTCTACATGTACTTACTGAGTTCAATAACTGCTGTATCAGTACTGTAGCTTGCTGCTCCTCCTCCAAACTCATATATCCAGTTAGTAGTTGGGGTCACACTCCACACTGAGAGAGAATGCCAGAGTCGCCTTGTGACATTGTGTGGTACATTAATCTATAAAATTAAAATGATAATAATTAATTTGTGTATGACATATTAATTGATTTGATATCTGGTTAATAAACACAATAACTAACTCACAGTTTTATAGTCTGCACAGTGTGTTTTATGTAACACAAAGATGACATAATAAAATTAATAATACACGATATATTAATAGACAAGTATACACAACTGAGTGTGTTATTATATCATGTGAGTCCTCAATTAAGAACTTACTAAGTGTCTGCATGTACACACATACACATACACATACTAATGACACACTAACACACATACATGTACATCTATACATGCATACACATATAAAGCTACATGTAAAGCATGCATAATTGCTCACACACATATACACACATGTACATGTTACATGTACACATGATATACGTGTTAGTACACACATACACATATTAAAACATATGCACACATACACACAAATACATGTATGTACATACACAATGTACACAATGTGTATAAAATAGAATTTATTTTAATTCCAGCATTGACACTCTATCAATTGTGAATCCATCTTTACACACACAGACACAGACACATGTATATTCACACATATTTAGGTAAAGAAACAAACACAAAACACAAAAACACAAAAACACACATTCACACTGAAAACAGACACACACACATACTGAATACCAGGATTATTCATCAGTAGTTTTCACTGAGTATCATAATATGTACATGTACATTACAAACCTCATGAGTTACAAATTTAGTTAATCACTTTATGTTTCATTATCAAGCATTATAATATAATACTTACCAGTTCTTTCCATTTTCTTTTGTTAATGTTCAGTAACCATACATCATAGGCATGTAATCCACCCACCACTAGTAAGTGTGGTCCTGAACTAGTGGTAATCAGTACACTGGAATGACCCCATCTTCCCTTAGGCCATTGTACTGATCCTCCAGGATTAGGTATTTCAAATATATCCTGAGAGAATAATAAAATCAATGTAGATGGAACACAATTCTTTCAATTGAAAATTTATTAGAAACCCACAATTTACAATCAAATAATCTCACAATCAAAACCCATCCTGCAGTATTAACTCACCACTGATGTCTTAGTGAAACTTATCATAAACAGTTTATTACTCCATCCATTATCAGTCTCACCTCCGAACATTACTGCAGTGTTATTAGTAACTGGTGTTAGAGTGAAGGACTCAATAGGAGGTGGTCTGTCTCCAGTAACAACAGGAGATATCCATTGATCTAATAATAATGTACAAACATTCATGTACACTTACTTACCACATACACACACATACATTATACACATTCATCATACATATGTATGTGTATATGTGTGTACATTATTATTTATACATACACATCATGCATAGACACACATCACTATCACATGATACACACACACACACACACACACAGATATACTCATGTATTGATACACACCATCACACACACCACACCTGTACACATGAAGGAGAGGTCCAAGGGGTCTCCTTATTTCAAGATTACTAATCTATTCTGGTACATGTCAGTTATGATTGTTAATGAATAATTATACAAAACTCATGGAACATTGTATGTGGGTAATTTGTGACTCGTGATACAGAACTTTATCAAAAATGATAATAAATAACATGAACCTACACACACACACATACACACTCATGTCACATTAGCTTATGTATAGATACATGTACATATACAAACATCACACACACACAGATACATGATAATACTCACACACACATAACATGCACATTATAGATACACGTCACATACACATGTCATACATTCATAAATTCTCACATACATTATATGCACTATCATACACAGACACATCATAATGTATGTATTAGTACACACACACACGTCACATATAGACACACGTCACCATCACACACAAACACATGACACACAGAGACACACTAACAAACACACTTAATTATTAACAATCTGTTTTATGTACATTAATATAAATTATTCAGTTTGAAAATACTCATCAACTATTGTGTATCAATGATGAGAATTACTGACCTGATGAAATCCTGTAATAATGTATCTCATTACATCTCAAATTACCATAAGAATTATTATACTGAGCATTAGGTTGCTTAGGTGTAGAAGATGATCCCAGTCCTCCGATTATTACAAGATAGTCTTCACTGTCCAAATGAACTGATATTATTCCACAGTAGCCCTTCTTCATTGGATCGCGATCAGAACTAGAAGGAGAGAGCTCCCTCCACTTGAATGAATCCACATTGAAACAATGTAAGCTGTTTTCATAACCACCAACACCATGTCCACCAAAATAATATATGTCCTTCCCAATAGCAACAGATGAATAGCCCCAGGTACGTTGTGGTGGGGTACCAGTAGTAGGCTTCTGGTCCCAAGCACCAGTTGGTAAGTCATACACCTCTATCACATCATAGTCTACTCCAGACCCGAACCCACCCCACATATATAGGTAGTCTCCTACCTTTACTGTGGAGTGTCCATATCTCTTCACTGGTTGATAGTCTATAGAGAACAAGAGGTACCAGTAACAGAGTAACAGTAATATAGTGATGAGTTAGAATAAGGACAGGATAAAGAGGAGTAAAGTAAGTGAGAGAGTAAGAGAGACAAAGAATGAATGAAAGAGATACAAAGAGAAGAGAATAGTGGCCCTCACTTTTAGATGCCATTCTTGCAAAATACCAGCCCCACCCAAACTATGCAACATGAGACCACACCCATTTATCCAAAATTCATAAAATGAGTTCCAGTCGTGGTGTAGTAATCTCCTGCTGGTTCTACTAGACTCAAACCAAATCCCAACTTCTTCAATTCTCCTAGTCAAAGTGATGGGGTATAGGTAAGGAGGGGACTGTACCAGAATCCTTATTGAAACAAGCTCGTAAAACCGGTTCACTGAACCTGTCAAACGGCCGGATAGGGAGGCTGTGTGAGACTTGTAGCATGTTTTTTAATTCACCAAAAATGGCCTAAATGATTTTTTGATTTTCATTTTTATGACGCATTAATGAACATGTAGATGTATGAAGGTTAGATGGTGAATGTGTATAATTACAGGGGCATTAGTGTTATTCCTCCTAAACTGTGGAGACTCAATATTGATCCTCCTGATGGTAGTACTGCTTCATTTGATGTTGATGAGAGATGGTGGGACCAGGTGGAACTGACTAGACTGGATCTATCATCTAACGAAATCAAAGAAATATCTGAAGATATTGAAAACTTTAATTCATTGTCAGCGCTTGAGGTGAGAATGAAAATATAAGATTTTTAATATCATTATAATACATGTTTAGTGTACATGTATGTATGAATTAAATTGTAATAGCATGGTATACTGCATGTTTTGAGAGAACTCCCTTGAATGTTGTAGATTTGTTTATAGTTTAGTTTGTTGTTTATTTTTGTATAAAGACTCATAATTATGTTTACATGTTGTGTGTTATTGTTATTATAGGTCCAGTACAATGAGTTAACATGTCTACCTAATAATGTGATCAAACTGGATAAACTATCTAAAATATTTGCAAGGTAAATATTGTATCCACTCTCTACCATATGTACATGTATATCTCTCTCCATGCATACATGTACTTATCTATCGACTACCATACGGGTAGAAAATTTTGAGGGTATAAAATTTCGTGTTTTAGTGAAAATCTCTTAATTCTTTAATTTCGAAGAGGTTAAATTTTGTGTTTTTGCACATGCACTTGCATA